TAACAAGCGGTGCGTCAGTGCGCGCCCGGGATCCGAACCGGTGGATCCCGGGCCGCCGCAGCGAAGCACGCGCACTTAACCGCTTATGCCACCGGGCTGGCCCCCACGTGATTTGTTTGACTAATGAGATGTTACAAGGCTTGATGCCAACAGAAGCTTGAAATATGTTTTGGTGGTTTGGCCTGCTTCTTGCATTCTAGTGATAAACCATGAAATGAGTATGCCCCGTAGCTGCTGCCCCTTCACACTAGGCCTTGGAATGAACACATTTAGAGTGGATCTAACACAACCTGCAGCCAGAGGCAGGGCCAGTGAACCCACAAACTGAAGGAGGTGTGCCTGGCCAAGCCCGGCCTAGAGCAGGAGAACCCCAGGTGATCTATAAACCCAGCGTGAAGATAAACACTTAGTGTTGTAAGCCACTCAATAAAACACTGGTTTGTTATGCAGAACTGTTATGGCAACAGCTGACCAATAGACCCAGTAATCTCACACCTAAGAATTTACCCTAAGGCAACCAGAGAGAAACAGATTCACAGACAAGGGTGTTTATCACAGGAATATTTATAATAGCAAAAAGCTGGAAACATCCTATCATCAAATAGAGGAATAGTTAAATTATAATCTAGCCAGATCACTAAATATTCAATGCTATTAAAAAGCATGTTTTTAAAGAACACTCAAAAATGTAAGATGTTCATAATGCTTTAAGTTTAAAACGCATGAAAAGCAAGATGCACTGTTTAAAAAAAAAGTATCTACAAGTAGAGAAAAAGATCAGGTGGATAAAATAACGCATTTAAGAAACACAAATGCTTTTCTGTGCTACATATTATTTTATGCTAAATATTATACTAAATACTATACTCAGAATAAAGAAGACACACATGTTCCCTGACTTCCTGAAACTAACAGTCCAGTGAGGAAGACAGATATTAAAAAAGTAATAATCACATATACGTAAATACAAATTGTGATAAACTATTGTGGCAGAAATTGATAATTATCCCCAGTATTTATTTCCCCTTTCTTACTCAGTGCCAGAGTCCTTGAATTTTATCTGCCCATGGCCACCTGGAATAAACTACACTTCCCAGCCTTCCTTGCTCCTAGTTGAGGCCACATGACTAAGTTCTGACCAATGGGATCTAACTGGAAGTGGTACATGCAACTTCCAGTAAACATCCTTAAAAATTACAGGCTTGCTCTTTGTTGCTTTCCCCCTTCTTACCAGATGGAGCAGCTATTTTGGACTATGATGTGGAAGCTTCATGCTGAGAATGGCAGAGCAAGAGAATAGGAGTCTAGGTTCCCTGACACTGTGGCACCACTATTACCAGCCCTGGTCCACCTAGAGAGCTTTTACACAAGAGAGAAATAAAATTCTACCATGTTTAGGACATTTGTATTTTGAGTTTTCAGTCATTCACAGCTGAACCTAATCCTAAATAGTATAGCTATGAAGGAAAAATGAAGGGTTCAATGAGAGATTATAATAGAAACAGCTGATTTTGACAGGAGGAAGGGGTGTCAGGGCTAGGTCCTCTGAGGAAGTAACATTTAAGCTGCTACCTGACACGTGGCCAGGAGGGCACCAGGTGAAGGGAGGTGGGGTGGCGAACTGTTCAAGACAGGGAGAAATCAAAGATGCAACTACTCTGGCTTAAGCCTGACTCACCACAGGGACAAGCAACAAACTTTGGGATGTTAAGACTGTTTCTACAATGAATTAAACCAAAGCAACTAAGTGTGTTGGTTCCAATATCAGAATCTCTATTCTGATAAGCAAAAGACCACACATGCATGTCAAAAATGAGGGGGGGAAGGGTGCAGAATGAGAATGAACCTTGTTAAAGAAATGAATAGTTGCTTCCACACTTCAGTATTACTAGCGTTCAGAAGAATTGGATTCTCAGATTAGAGTGGTTCATACACCATGAGGAGAGTATCATTAGATTTTTAAATGCTAACTATCCCTGGAACAAACAAGAGTTTGGTGTTAAAAATTTTTTTAATAATGTTTCTTGTCTATCTCTGATTATAAAAAGGAAACATACTTATTGTGGAGAATTTAGCAAATAAATATAAGAGAATAAAAAATAATAAACTACCTGTAAATTCATCACCTTCCAACAATATTTTCTACTGACGTGGTTTTTATATACATTTACATGCCTACATACATATATACATACAACACACAAAAATGGGATGTAATGCAAACGAAGCTGCATGTGCTTTTTCACTTATTTCATCATGACCACATTCCTATTTCATTAAAATATTTTTGAAACCATGATTTTTAATGTCTACATAACATATAATTTATTTAGCCAATCAAGTCTGAGGATTTCCTGAGTTAAAACTGTCAACCACAAATTAAAGCCAAGTAGGTCAAGAAGCTGACTTCAAAATCTGCCACGGAGAATTTCTATTCAGAAATATCAAGTTACAGTTGAAAGCACTGGAACCTTCTAACCAAGAATTCAATGAAATTCACTGAGTTTTAGCCATGAAGGATGCTGACTAAAGACCATGTTTTCCCAAATAGAGGACATCATTTCATAATTAGTCTCGAGGAAGCAACTGAATAAATATCAAAGATTGAGGTAGCAATAACAAATAAGAACTAATAAGTGCCTACTGTAAGAATTAATGACTATCTGCAATGTTTTTTTTTAATAAAGCAAAATAAGAGAATGTATGCACCTATTACTTGTATAATTCAGTTTTCAAGTGGATACAGAAAAAACAATTATAGAAAAACGCATCTAGAAAAAGAATGGAAACAAATAATGACCAAGGGTTAATAACTGTTCATTCTGGAATATGACATTCTTTGAACTTTTCTGTATTTAAAATTTTCCTCACAACCAAGAAAATTAATGTTAAATTAAAATATTAGTCATGTGAGTAAGGTAATTCAGATTTTAGTTACTGAAGTAGAAGAAAAATCAGTAAGTTTTGCCAGAGGCTAAGTGGATCTTTTGAGAAGGAAAAACAAAAAGCTGGGCATTCAGCATTAGGAGTTTGTTCTAAAATAAAACTATTTTAAACTAAATATCAATGTTTCATGTTGGAAACTAGTCTGAGGAAGGACCAGCTTTTGAACTTTACAGATGTGCTTCCTTCAAGTACTATCCTATCTAAAAATGATAAATTTTCTGTTCTATCAAAAAGGTCATTTTAACAGTTAGGCAAATATTTTTTAAATTGCAAGATTGCCTTTCAGTTTCTGACTCTAGTTCTCTTTACTTTGCATACCTCAGGTTTTCCTGATGCTAGACCCATTTTTTAACATTCTAGTTTCTAAAATCCAAACTTAGTTCAGATGACACAGTTTACCACTTGAAATGTCTTACTGAACACAAATGATTGCAATGTTCTTATTAAGTGAGGTCCCTAGCGGAAAAAAAATTAAAGAATAAAAAGTTACAGAAATAAACCAAATCTTTACATGATTCTCACAAAAATTTCAAATAAACAATTTTTTTTTAATTGCCCCATTTTCCCCATGTGTAGCCTTAGCTTGTCTTAACTTTGTGACAGCATCCCCCACCCCCCACTCCACTAATCAGTTTTCACCTTCTTTCCCTGCTGGAACACGTGAATTTTTCAGCAAAAGTGACTCATTCATTGGCATCTTGTCAAACTAACCCTGAAACTATAAGGAGGCTCATCGCTAAAAGAATTCTAAAGCTAGAACACTTTCACTAACACACAGCATTTTGACTTTAGAGAACTGAACCACTTCTGGAGCCAAATACATACTAACAAACTCGGTTTATATTTTTCCTTACAAATTAGTCTTCACCATGCCACCTCCTCCCAATTTTAGTTTGGCAATTCCCTGATCTAAAATACCTCCTGTCTCTGGAGAAGACAAGATGGGGGAACAAAGAAGCATAAGAACAGGAGGAGGGGGAGCAGTTGTTCACTCAGCTTGGAAAAAGATTCTATTCTGAAACATTAACGACTCCTATCTGTTCCACATAGTTCTCAAAATTTATTTCTCCCCTCAGTTAAATGAAAACACAACACAAACACAATCAGAACTCACCAGGAATAAATTACTCTCATTGCTATTATTTCGCTAAATAAAAGTTTAAAAAACAACATAAAAATCAATTATTGAGAACCATTTAGTCAAAAATCTTCAATGAGACGTCACTAGCACAAACTATCAACTGCAAATCACCTTATCCTTTTGGTTCACACATTTACCTACTCCAAGACAGAAAACGGCTTCTGTTAACCAGAGGGCGAGTGGTGGGGAAGGAACGAGAAAACAAACGCTTTGTCAGATTACCATAGATATTTATTTATAACTCTTATCAATTGTCACACTCCACCTGGTGGCAGGAGCTGCCTGAACTGGTGAAGTGGAGGTGATTATTATGCAGGTAACTCCAAAGAATACCGTCCAGATGTCCTTGGGAAAAAAGCAAGATGCTCTTCTCTTGCCCTATATAGAATAAAGCTCACAAGTTTCCACCGAAGTTTTTTCACAGAATAGTAGGTCAATATCTAATAAAGATTAACATAAAGGTATGACAATCATCAGAATGGGAGACCTACATTTAGAGCAATCTATTTACAACCGTGCTCGCCACAGTAAGGTAAATGTCATCTCAAGCCTTTAAACCAGGGCACAAGGCACATCTAGCAGCTACAAGATCCTCTAGCACAGACTCCCACTATCTTCCCTTACCCCTTGCCCCTATCGGTGAACTAGAGAGTATAATTAACACAGTTAACAGCAGCCTGCCACAGTGCTTCTAGATATTAGTCAGTAACATATACCCATGGGATACTCTAGAGACTAATTTCAACCAAAAATAAAAATAGATAAACAGAGCTCAAACAAATTTAAAACTGAGTCTGGCTGCCCACACTTATTTTCACACATGAGGAAAAATAGCAGTTCTCCTAGAAGCCTCCAGCAGACATATCTTTAGAACACAAGGTTAAAAATATGGCCCCCCTCCTTTTTCCCCTACCTGTTTCTCACTCAATGCTGTGATTTTGGCTTGGAGTTCATGAAGCTGTTTCTTTAAATCAGCATTCTGATTGGAAAGAAAAAATATCTGTGAGAAAGATATTTCATTTGTTAACAGAATAGTAGCAAGAAGACTTTTATGCATATTGTTTTACAAATGATGAAGAACCTTAAGCACTTAGCCAATCAAACTCGTCATGCATTAAGCTGTAGTCATATCATCACCCCCTAACGCACACATCCTAAATGTAGGCTCCTAACACTAGAGCACGGGCAGCTCTTTGCAACTGTAAATTACAAGCAGTTTTATAGTTTAGCATCTTGCATGGTAATAGTACTCTTTTCTACTAAAACATTATTATTCTTTATAGAAACTATTAGTTGACAGAAAACCTAAAGCTCCACTAATCAGACAAAAGCAGAAAAATGGAAGTTATAAGTATGCACACATTGCACACTTAACGGCATTATCACTAAGATAAGAAGTTTTTCTCTACTTGCCTCTCCCTTACTTCGGAGAGCACATTTGTGATTTTAGCCTACACTTGAAAAGCTGTCAGTGCTACAACTGCCTTAACACTACATCACTCGAACTAACACACTGACGACCAGGGCATCTTCTCAGTTCTAAAATGCGAGGAATCAAAAAAGAATACTATTTTAGATGAGATACACTGAGCATGCTTGCCTTTTACTCAAGTGGGAAAAAAATCCAAAATTAAAGTTTCCAAATGCTTAATGTAGTAGGGCGGCCTACTAGCAGACTGAACACCACCCCAATGAGAGACCACTTTTTCTTCATCATTTCACATGCAATTCTTTCACCTCACCCTGTCTGGTCTTCTGCCAGGGTTGGGCACACATCTTCCCCCTCACGTTTAATTCGTATGGTCTTTTTTATAAGAGTATTTGATATAAGGCCTCTCTAATGAGATCACCCAAGAGATTGGCCAACAACTTAGTGCCCCCAGATTCTTCAAGTTGAGACTGATCTGGTACATGACCACCAGCTATATCTGAAACGCTGAAGTTTTCTAAAAATATGTCAGTTGCTGATAATGTAGGTTACCATATTAAATACAAAAGAACCTATTTAATCTAAGGTCTACTGCCTCTTGGTTCCTTAAATCTAATTTAAATTATAATATATTAAAAAAATAAATAAAAATAAATGAATAAATAAAAATGGAGAAGCTCAAAGAAGTTGGACTGTCAAACAAGAGTTAAGTGTGGGCAATCAATGCCAGCTCTCAGAATCAATGGATTGTGTTAAAACACAATAGTTAGGCCAGTGGGTGCTCAACTTGTAGAAATGAATACTATTTCTCACTTCCAAAAATCAACCTGCCTCAGTACCATTCTTCAATCCAAGAACTTATTTTACTTAACTTTACAATAAGGCATGTATGCTATGTTTAACAAGCTAAAAAAATATACATACATATCTATATATCTATCTGAGTATCCATCAATGGGTCTAGATGTTCTGTGAACGGATTACGAGTAAACAAATGCAAGGGAGAAATCCTGAAAGAGTCTGATAAATACTCTCCACACTTATGACCCACTGCCTAACGACTACAAGAGACACTGCCTGAACAGTAAATATAATCACCTACGACAAGGTAACTTTCTAGGAAGACTTCTCTTCCGGGATAGAGAATAAAATACCTCAGTCAAAAATTCCTATGAAAATGTCAAGAAAAGGTAACATTTGCTGGATTATCATATAAGGTACTTTTAAACCCTCTTTAAATGCTCTTTCCAAAATAAAATTTTTAAAAAGGTTTCTAAAATATTATTCTAGAATTCTTACCCTGAACATAGTGGGATTAAGTATTTAAATGTTCTATACTATATCTGTACCATAAACTATGAGAAAATAAGAATGGCTCTGGGCCACAGACAATAATTTTGAGTCTACAGAAAGTCTTACAACTCTGGTTTTGAATAAGTGGGCTTATGGAAGTGAAATTTAAGCTATATGAAGAGTATTAACTCTCAATTTTTTCCCAAAAGACTTAAAGCAATTAACATAAAAGCAAAATAATAGTAACAAAGATGAAATGATAGCTATGAATGACTGGATTTTTTTCTAAACCCTTAAAACATGAAGACCAATATGCTAAAAATAATTGCTGTCAGAGATGAGATAGTTTTTAAAATTTAAGCGTTGATTTATATTTTAGTATTTTATGGTCACTTTATCTTAAATTATTTTAATTAAAAAATTAAATGAATAAAAGTAGTATTTTACCTGTGGGTCCTGCTTCATTTGAGCAACCAGTTTCTGGTAATAAAGAGAGAAAAAGAGCCATCAGTCTTACATATAACTCACTACAGCTAATCAGGTTTGACCCCCCAAATCTAGAGTTTTAAGGCCACACAAAAACATGAGCAACACCACAATCAGAATAGACCAATAGCTTCTGTGATCCATATAAAAGGTTATGAGACACTCCTCTCTACATAAAAAAAATAAATAAATCAAGCTACCACTTTATATTTGAAATGAAAAGCTCCTGCTTTTTAAAAAATCTGGAGACAGGATGGGGGAGGGGAACTTCTAAAAAGCAATTTAAACAAGCTGGATGCTCTAAAAGCCAAACATCCCTTTAAAATGTTGTCGCTGTCTAGAGTCCCAAACAAGGCCGGGAAAGAAGCTGCTCCCATACAAAACAGTCCTGTGTGTATACAGCCAAGCAGAGATTTGGCAAGTCTGTTGGTTTGGTTCTCACCACAGAAGGAGCCTAGTGTCAGATGGGACTTTGCCACTGTCTCCTCCGTGGGGGAGGGGAGCACTCAGCAGAGCAGTGATGTTCAGTGTGAGAGAGTAAGGAAGTGGGAGAACAATAACGCAAAACTCTACCTACCTGAGTCCCTCTGGAAGGAGAGTGCTACCAGAATACTGAATGAGAAAGACCTTCACCAGAGAAAACAGAAGTCCAAACAAATGAAAAATAAAGAAAAACAGATGCCGTTTGACCTAACCCAGCTTCTAAAAGCACCACTGCCCAAAGGTAACAACAACCAGGGACAGAGGATTTGAAGCATAAAGGAATATCAGAAGGCTGATTCCTAAAAGTGTCTGGGAGTAAGCTGTTCCCCAATAAGCTGTTCTCATATAATTGAAAAACCTGTCCCTCTCTTTGGATGACAAGGAACTTTTAAATTTTTTAGTCATAGAAGAAAGTCTTGTCAAAGCATATACTTATAGGCATTCTTAAATAGAAAAAAAATCAGCTTTCATTGATACTTAGAGGCATGATTACATCAATTAATATACTATTCTACAAACAATACAATAAGGTCCTTACAGAAAAGGCCCCAAATCGCTTTGTTTTAAAGAGTTCTTGTGTCTGCATTTTAGTTTTTCAGTCTACTCCTTAAGGCCAAGCAGTCAGCTAGCAAATCTTGCTGCTATGATTACCCCTCCAACAGCCCCTGAACCCCAACTCAAATTTGCCGCTTCTGATCTGCTGTATGATACGCTCAGTGAACTAACTCTAAGACGAGTGAATAGGCTGTAATAACCTAAGAAAGCCCCCTTGAGTAAAATGTAGAATCTTTGGTGAGTGAGTTCCGACATTTATTCTAGTTGGTCAAAAGCCTTCCTTCAAGTGCTAGGATACATTCTGGATAGCCAAAGTTGTCAACCACGTGACCTCCAAACACACAAGGTAGATATTATTACACTCTACTTCATATGTGACAGAATAACTCTTCTATACCCTAGTCTTATCTACAAAGTAGTAATAACACACATTCCAGGAGCTCAATGAAATTTAAACACAAAGTTTTATACATATACATTTTTACTAACGCAGCCTAAAGGCCAGCCACATTCTTCAATGAAAATAGCCCTTGGTTTTCCTTTTGCTTTGGTTAGCAGAGAGTTGGCTACTACACTAAAGCTGCCTTTTTAAAGCTGAAAAAGGTTTTCTTCCATGACACTGGAATTTAAAAACTGACTGATAACCACACTAAGTCTCCACCCCTGGAGGAAATAAACCAATTGTTCTACCCATAAGCAGTCAAGATGCATTTTAGACAATCAGAGGCAGGACAGGACAAGCTAGGCAAATTAACTAGACCATCCAAATCACTAGGGACTTGAAGCTGACGTTGCGTTATCAAAGTTAAGTTACCTTCTATTGCAAGAACGCAGCAATTTTTCATGAAGCTAAACCTCACGCCAAGGGCTGGCAAACTGTAGCCCACAGGCAAATCTGGCCTACTATCTGTTTTTGTAAATAAAGGTTTATCAGGACTCAGTCACACTCATTCATTTATATATTGCCTATGGTCACCTTGTATAGCAGCAGAGCAGAACAGTTGTGACACAGACCACAAAGTAATCCACGAAGTATAAAATATTTTACTATCTGGCCCTTTACAGAAAAAGTTTTCTAACTTCTGCTTTATACTATTCTCCGTTCCATGTAGAGTAAATACTCTGCAAGTTTAAATATGGCTTCCATCAAATCCGCATAAGAATAATCAAAAAGGCAATTTCTCAAAAAAAGGTGAGATGCTCATCACACTATTTAAACATTCATTCAACATCAACCATATGTATGTCGCTACTTTCTTAACCATCTCCCTGTCCATAAAGAACAAAAATATACTTCCACTATAGCAATACCAGGTAGTTCATAACACACTTTCTATTCAGTAAGCTCAATTTCAGCCCTAATTTCATTCCCTAACTGGAAATGCATGAAGGGGTGGCTTTTGCCCCAGTACTCAGTCAAATGTATGACCTGGCTTTGGCCTCAGCCTCGTAGCCAGTGCCTACTTTGATGTCATTTCTGGCATCCCCAAACTTGTCAGGATCAGTGATTATTTTTAGGTTACCACATATTCAATCAGAAGAACAACATCAGATTTACAAATAGGCATGTCACTTGGATTTACTGTTGTTAATACTTATTTTCTTTTTCAAAAATAGGAAAGTATTCTAAATATAACTAGAGTGAAAATCTTATATACTTTATTTGTTAAAATACTATCAATCAACATATAAATAAATGTTTATTATTGCACAAACAAAATGTTGTATAATAATTAAGGATGAATATAAAAGCTATTAATTTTATGCTAAAAAACAAATAGTTAAATATATAGGGAAACAGTTAATGTTAATATTAAGAGAGTGTTTGGGATAACTTGAAGAAGAATATTATATCCCTTTTGAGGCAACAAATGTAATTTTAAAATTTAAATTAGATTTTAAAACAGAATAAACATTAATTTTTTTCATAATTACAATTTTCATAAAATTGGTATGCTTGAACTAAAAATGCAAAACAAAATAATATTTAAGAACTCTAATTTTTAGTAATTTAGTTCAATTTAGGTCATGAGTCTTTCAAGAAAGTCTTATTTGGGACTTGTTCATATCTTGTTAGGATGAACTAAAAGCAGAATGCTAACTTCGCCATCTCAAAATTTCTTGAGAGGAGGAATAGCTCCCAAAATCACATACAATTTCATTAAATTATCCTTGGTCCATGCAAATTTCAGATTGATTATGGTTGTCCAGAAATTTGTTCTATGATTATGTCAGCTTTGAACAAATTGTGAATTTAACTGTCGTCATTTGCCATTCAGCCAAATTGGGTATTTAACACACCTCTCTGTTAAAATACTTTCGTCCTAGAAGACGACAAGCTTGTTTTTGTAAACAGATTTTTATTCTCCTCAATTAGTACCAGAAGCAAGGACAAATAAAATAAAATGTGCATAACTTATTATATACTAAATTTCTTAAAGTTACCATAAAAACAAAACACACTTCACATAGAGAAGCCCGCCTGTACACAGCCAACTATAAGACTACCACTGAGCAAGAGTTTAACAAGATCCACAGCAACAGCAGGGATTTCTGAACATACAGACTCGATGTAAAAAGTGTATGCATGAGTATGTATGTCCGCATGTGTGAATATATATACACCTTCATATATATATATATATATATATGCCTTTGAAGATTTCCTATAAGTTCTCATGCACCCTAATTCTAAGCAACCTGCAAATTTAGTAGTTGTCAAAAGCCCAGGGTGTTCTTCCAACAACTTCAGAAATCAACCTTACCTTAGACTATTCAGATAAAACAAGGCAAACCATACCTAAGAACAAACACCTTTAGAAAATAGTTCCCTTCTCCTCTCTACTCCCACACCCCAAACATTTGTAAGTAATCATATCATCATCACTGATCACTTCTGATTTCCAAGGATTATATACGCGTACGTGTGTGTGTGTGTGTGTGTGTGTCTTGAACCTAGGACCAAATCCAGCTAATGTCTAGAAAAGAGATATAAAACAGTGATATTCTGTTTACACAATAATGTTCATGATTTAGTTATTTAAGGATAGCTTTTTGTCTTGGTTATAGTTATAGTAAATAAAATATATTATAAATATTTAATATATTTTATTAATATAATTATATAAATATAATCATTAATATTTTTATTTATATATTTTTTAAGTTTGTTGAGCCTAGGTACCTGAGGTGAAGTGTAAGAATTGTGAAATTTGGAACGCAAACATCTGTGAAGACAATCACATTTTCTCTACTAAAGATTGGAATCAAGGTCAAAATCAAAAGCTGAGTTATGAGTAAAAACTTCATTATACGTGGTAGTCCAGTTAAACATGCCTCATTATTCAAAATACGCAAGTTAAATCATATGAGCAGAGTCCATGGACTCTGTTTGGACCAAAAAACAGAAAAAAAGAGAATTTTTTTTTTTTTTTAACACTTTTAGTATATGAAAAAAATATTTTCAGTTCTTTTCTCTGGAAAGGAAGTCAGGAATATTTTATTAACATTCTTAAAAGTATTATCAATGAGTTTGTTTAGTAGCGATAAAAGGCAAATGACATGACTCTTGAACAACTGTCTGAAAGACAATTAAAAACTGTACTAAAAACCAGAGATGGGCCTGTTTACTCATCTTAGCGATTACTTAATATGACGTGGGAGAAGCCAACAATGCAACATACCTGGTGAACCTGAATTTCCACTTTAAGAGCCTCCTGTAGAGTCTGCAACTCCATCCTCTACCTTCTCCACTTTCTTTTATGTCTGTTAATTCTATAGTTTCTTCAGCCTCCGTTTACAATAACAAATGCCTCTTCTCACTGAAGCTGTAAAGATCATAAAATGTTCTGGATCATTATGTTGGACATAAAGGAAATATTCATGTTAAGTAAAATAATCTCAGTTGAAAAACATTTGATTCTATAACACAGTGCAAGAAATTTCCCAAACCGATTTCTTTCCAAAATGAATAGTTTTGTATCGAATTGGTACCAAAACTTTCTGGGTTTTATTCTTTGAGCACTCCTCTACCGAACACTTCAAATACGTAAGAATAAAAAAAAATGTGTTTAATCGGGTCGTGAAAACATTGAAGAACCTACTATATACTCAGCACCACGCTACATTCTTCGTTCTGAGGATACAGAGCTGAACAAGACCACTTCTGCCCTAGATGAGGAGGAGACATCCAGGACACACTGTCCTCAGAAAGAGACACATAACAACAGGGTCATACATTTTTAAACATCACACAGAGTGAAATGGAGAGTTCAAGGTCTCTCAGAGGTTAAAGAAGTCCAGAGTATTTTCATTTGGATAAACTTTCACTGTATTTAAAAAATAAAGAAGCTCAAAACAGGGGAACATTCTGGTGTAATTTAAAGTTTACATTTAACAAATTAATACTTAATACAAACATAATGCAATGTAACTGTGCTTTCCATGAAATTACAATAGGGATATTAATAAATAAATCTATCGTGCACAACAGATGAGGTGGTCTAGCAATGGAACAGATGTTTCCAGCTTTACAATGAACACTATCTTCTTTCTAAGCCTGCCAGGGCATCTCCTTGGCTGTGTCCATAACTGCAGAGAGATAATGTCAAAAAGTCTAGATTTGTGAATGTGGGCCTTCCTGTTCTGCTCTGCTCATCACTACTGCAATTTAAATTAACTCAATGGCTAATTTCTCTTTTAATTTTTCTTCTCTTTTTCTTGAATGTGGCCTTAGACATGATTTTAGGTACTCTCCCAAAGCAAAAGTTTGCTTTTGTCTAATAAATTTCAACTTCACTTCTTTCTCTCTTCTTCTTTGTACCTATAAAACCTGTCGTTAGAGCAGCTCTTCAGTACTCTTACAAACTGAGGAAGGAACACTCAGGAAGCCAGAAGAACCACTGTTTCTTAAACCAATTCAATGAGATTCATAATCTTCACATTTCCCCCAAATTATTTATCTATGGAGTAAGTCCATATTCAACCTAAGTTTTTTTAAAACTTTTTTAAAACCTGATTTAACAGAATTATAACGGAATCATTAACTACAGAATGTATTCCTGTGAATATTAGCTTTCATTTTATTTGCTTAATCTCGCTAGGCTTAAAACATCACTGGCAATCTCTCCCCGAGGCCTTACATACTATGTTATGTAATATTAAATACGCTAACCTAAAAAACAATTAATTTCAAAAGTGTAAAATTCCTTCAAACTTATTTGTAGAGGTTAGGAAAGAATTATTCTACGATGATATTGTCAACCAAAAAATTTCATAAAGGGAGTATGTTTAGGGGGGATAATTTGGATAAAGAGACATATTTTGATGAACAAACCTGGGTTTTTCGGCTACTTATTATCTTAGAACATCTCTGGAACTATAATAAATAAATAAATATCAGAATCATTAAGTTACTGACAGACCAAGGTTTTTGTTGTCATGTAAGTTTATTCTACGTACAAAAGAAAATATTAAAACTACACAGTCACTTTAATTTTAAATACTAAAAGAATATCCGTACTCAAATTGTTGACTTATGTACTAGAGTTCTTCCTGAAAACATTACTTGAATTAGTTTTAATTTTCGCAAGGTTCTATCAGAAAATGTGTCCAAAAACAACTCCTTATAATTTCTGTCAAATTAAGACTCACCTTGAAGTTAAAGGGGTATTTTCAATAACAGAAAGGCCATATTTTATTTTACTGGTAGTAACATATAACATCATAGCGCAACTCAAATCATATAAACTCTGGAAACAAACAGCAGGTTAAAAACATGGGAGGGCCAGCCCCACAGCTTAGCGGTTAAGTGCCCACGCTCCGCTACTGGCAGCCCAGGTTCGGATCCTGGGCGCACAACGATGCTTGTCCGGCCATGCTGAGGCGGCGTCCCACATACAGCAACTACAAGGATGTGCAACTATGACATACAACTATCTACTGGGGCTTTGGGGAGAAAAAGTGAAAAAAAAAAAAAGAGGAGGATTGGCATAGATGTTAGCTCAGGGCTGATCTTCCTCACACACACACACACAAAAAAAAACACATGGAGAACTTACGTGGAATATAAACTAACAGACGGACAAAGAGAACACTTTGGTGGTTACCAGGGGGAAGGGAGCTGGGGGCTGGGCACAAGGGGTGAATGGGTGCATTTATGTGGTGACTGACAAATAATAATGTACAACTAGGGGGCTGGCCTGGTGGCACAGCGGTTAAGTGCACACACTCCGCTTTGGCAGCCCGAGGATTCGCAGGTTCGGATCCCAGGTGCACGCCAACACACCGCTTGTCAAGCCATGCTGTGGTGGTGTCCCATATAAAGTGGAGGAAGATGGGCATGGATGTTAGCCCAGGGCCAGTCTTCCTTGGCAAAAAGAGGAGGATTGGCAGATGTTAGCTCAGGGCTGATCTTCCTCAGGGAAGAAAAAAAAAAATGTACAACTGGAATCTCACAATGTTATAAACTATTATGACACCAATAAAAAAAAATGGAGAACTTACAATACACAACAAAGGGTTAAGATAATTTATACAGTTAGAGTGCTCACAAATTAATTTTATCTATGAAAAGGCAATTCACAGAAAAAGAAATAATGACCAACAAACATGAAAAACATCCATCTTCAATAGAGTCACAGAAATGTAAATTTTAAGAAGATAAGTTTTGTCTATCAAACTGACAAAGATTTGTAAAAATAAGAGTACTCTGAGCTATCTAGAGTTCGGGTCAGGCAACGCTTTCATAATTTGCTATTGGTTATTTCTGGGTGGTAGCACTAAAGGTTATTTACTTTCTTCTTTTCAGAGTATCAATGTTTTCAAAATTTTCCATAGAAAATATGCACTTTTTTAAACAACAAAAATTAACTGAGGATTGCTAGATAAAGCATCAGAAAATTTTATACGGAGGAAACAAAATGTTCAAGAAAAGCAAAAGAAAAGCAGAGTTTAACCCGGAGGCTCTAAGTGTCGGAGAGCCCCTCACAGGGTAAGAAGCCTGCAACTCAAGCTAACGAGGAGCCGACAGCTTCAACTTCCTTCATCAGACTGCTGTCTGCTTATTAGAGACACACAAAGGAATGCAATTTTATTTGGCAAGGACTACAAATGTCAATTACTCATTTTATTTCAAAATAAAACTGAAGGGTTAAAAAAGGTAGTGACTTGTTACAGAAAAACTTATGAAAGACTAGAAGATTCATCTGATATCCTCCTCCTTCAAAAAGGCCTCTTTCTGAACAGCAATTTTAAGGGTGGTCTCTGCCTAAAGGAATGACTTACATACATATATTTATAGCTTACAAAAACAAAGCAAGCACATGTTGAATTCTTTTAAAAAATATTTTGGGGGCTTAAGACAACTCATGCAGCTGTCACGTGAAGACTGTTTGGGGGCAGTTTATAGCATCATAAAGAAGGTATTATTTGTTATATTTGTAAAAAGATAATTTACCATATTTTGACCAATTCTAAGTTACAAATAACACATCGGTTGCTACAAGGTAAATATAAACAGATTCACAAAACAGTAACAGACACACTTTATTGAGGTACAATACCCTTCACCACCCAACAGCTCTAAATACTACCATCAGAGAGGGCAATCACCTAGCACAAAATACCAACATTTGTTATCTTCAAAACTGTACGTGTCAAACCACCGGGACACCTAAGGCCTCTCACCTTTAAATTAAAAAAACAAACCCCAAAACATAAATAAATAAAAACTCCACAAACCAACCAAATAAAAATAATAATCAAATCCCACTAAAAAAGGCAGCTGGGATGTCTAGAAAGAACATTCGCTCTTCCCAAAAAACAAAAAAAACCTGATTATACTTACTCGCTGTGTAACTGCTCTCAGCCTCAGGGTTTCTTAAATTTGTTTGTTTGCTTATAAATCAGGAAAATGCCAACAGTATCATCTACTTCATAAAACTATTATGAGGTTTAAATAAGGTGAAGTTACATGAAAAGCCCTTTGTAAACTGTAAAGTTCTAAGCTGTTTTTAACACGTTTAACTCTTTTATTCATAAACAAACTTTCTAATAAACTTCTCAATACAGTATATTGCTGAGAAGGCTGTAAGCGTTATTTTCAAATTCTCTAAGAACGAGGCTTCTAGGGCTGGCCCCGTGGCTTAGCGGTTAAGTGCTCGCACTCCGCTGCTGGCGGCCCAGGGTTTGGATCTCGGGCGCACACCGACGCACCGCTTTTCCGGCCATGCTGACACCGCGTCCCATGTACAGCAACTAGAAGGATGTGCAGCTATGACATACAACTATCTACTGGGCTTTGGGGGGGGGAAATAAATAAATTAATTAATTAAAAAAAGGAGGCTTCTATTTTTCTCAGCATAGTTCTGCTTAGAGATATGTGACCTCAAGTCTTTCATTATGATTCTAAAAATACAGTAATGCTATAATTCTAAATTTACTGCTAAGAAACACTGCTCTGTTCCTGAATTGATATAAACCTTTCTCTAATCAAAACTCAACTCACCGACCAAGTTTCTCTAACTAACAGTAAGTCCGTAATACATTGTGCCTCCAGACTGAATTCCCTAAAAACGGACAGCTCCGTGTTCTCTATACCATATATCTACTTAGTGTAAGACTCTACTTTTGATCTATATTCTCAGAATAGCGTTTAGAGTAGATTTAATTAATTTTTTAAGATACAGTCATGTGCCGCATAATGACATTTTGGTCAACAATGGACCACATATACAACAGTGGTCCCATAACATTAGTACCTTATAGCCCAGGTGTGTAGTAGGCTATACCATCTAGGTTTGTGTAAGTACACTCTATGTTGTTCACACGAGGAAATGGCCTAACGATGCATTTCTCAGAATGTATCCCATCATTAAGCGACAGTTGACTCTATGAAAAATTAGAAAGTCTTGACAGATCTATGTATCCTTATTTGTCACATGCTTAATACTAAAATATCAGGTTTTAATTTGTACAAAATACTTATTTCTTAATATGTATCTAACATGCGAAGAGATAAAATAATATCTTTAACTTTTAACTAATAGTGCTAAAAATTACCACAGATGCTAAAATGATAAAATTCTTTTAGGAGTCCTTATTGAAAATTAACATTTACTAACATGAATCAATAAAAATGACATTAAAAAACCAACACGAGGCCAGCCCAGTGGTGTAGTGGTTAAGATCGCACACTCCGCTTCAGCAGACTGGGGTTCACGGGTTCGGGTCCTGGGCGTGGACCTACGCACCGTTTATCAAGCCATGCTGTGACAGGCGTCCCACATTTCAAGTGGAGAAGGATGGGCACAGAGGTTAGCCCAGGGCCAATCTTCCTCAGCAAAAGGAGGAGGATTGGCAACAGGATGGTAGCTCAGGGCTAATCTTCCTCACCAAAAAAAAAAACAACATAATGCTTGTTTTCTTATTTTCATGGTGGTATTTCTTTGGTGACACTTCACACGTCAACAGAAAATACTACTGCACAAACAGCTTGGCAATCTTGATTTTAGAGGCTATCTTTTGAATCTGGCAAGGTTACTGTGCTCAAATCCTGGTATTAGAGCTGTTAACAAAAATCATCTCAGCTAGTGAGACTGATGTTTCCTAAACATTAAATTTATATTTACATATATATGTGTGTGTATATGTATATGTGTGTGTGTGTGTATATATATACACAATTAGATTTATGAAATCTGAATGTCTGAATATGTTTGAGTATAAAATATGTATCTTCCCTTTCTCTGTCTTCTATCTTTTTTCTTGGGGGGGGCGGGGCACCTAGGTCCTCATTTAATAAAAAAACAAGGAATCCCTACACAGTTCATCCATCTGCAGCACAAGGGTGTGATATTCTGGTCAAGCAGGGTTCCCCCACAGCATCCTCCCCTCCCTAGGTCTGCTGCACTGCCCTACACTTCTCCCTACCACCAGTGTTCATTCTCATGTCCAGTTTCCACCTCAGCCTCCTGGGCCCAGCCCTGGCTGCCACACACACCTTCTTCTATTTCCCACCTTTCTTTACAGAAATGAAGCATGTCTACTAAAATCATCCCAACTATACCCAACAACAAGAACGTTGAAGTAAATTTTAAAACTCACAGAAATTCAAAATAAAGAAGGCTACAGAGCAGTATATAAGAGCAAAGTGACAAGGAGGCCGAGATTTTAGATTGGATGCCACAATTACTAGAATGCTATTTAATGATAAAAAATAGTCCAGACAAGCCTGGCCAGAATCATACATATATTTACTACACAAAGGATAACACAAGAGGATGTGGTAGTCTTGGCATAACCAATAAGTACTTAATAGAAGTGGAAGTTATGGGAGATAGAGTTCAGATCAATTTAAGGAAGAGCTAAGGATTAGAGCTGTACAAAAAAGGAATGGGTTACCTTATGAGGTAGTGGGCTCCCTGTCATTAGAAGTATTCAAGAATGCTGCATATCATATCCCCCTCTTGGAGATTCACAATGCACATTAGCATATTAAAGGTTCTGAGAAGTCCTGCAGTAAAGAAACCTGTTTAACTTTGTTTAACGCAGCATTTCCCAAATTATTTGACCACAGAACATTTTTCCCACACCCACCCCACCTCAATAATATTTATTCATTTCTGTGGAACTAGAGCTCCTCAGAATACAGTACAGAAAATAATGAGCTACACATCTTTTTAAAATGTAGTATTCAATATGTACCCGAGTAACAACCTGTCAGGGATACAGGAGGAAAAGTTGCCACAGTGGGTAACAAAGCTGGAAGAGAAGGCACTTCAGGTCCCTTCTCTAAGATTCTATGGCACTATCACATCTCAAAGTAAAGCACTATAGGGTCTTGATTATTTATTTAAAAAGGTCCATGAAAGGCAAGTAGAATAAAAAGGTAGTAAATGCAAGGTTAATTGGTTCCAATGCCTCCCTTTCATGTTCAAAGCCAATCCCTAAACGGTAAGCGAGACCCCTCAAGGACCACAAGTTATCAAAAAGAAGCCTTAAGCAAAAATCTACTCCACTTACTAAGTTAATTACTATTTGAGAGAGAGAACTGAAAACAAGAACAAAAATGAAAACAAAAAGGGGTAGCCTTGGGGCCGGCCCCATGGTGTAGTGGTTGAGTGCTCACGCTCAGCTGCTGGCAGCCCGGGGTTGGGATCCCGGGCGCGCACCGACACACCGCTTGTCCGGCCATGCTGTGGCGGCGTCCCACATAAAGTGGAGGAAGACGGGCACAGATGTTAGCCCAGGGCCAGTCTTCCTCAGCAAAAAGAGGAGGACTGACATGGATGTCAGCTCAGGGCTGATCTTCCTCACCAAAAAAAATAAAAAGAGAGTAGCCTTGCATTAGGGGACTACCCTATTTCAAGCTATCTTATTTGAGTTTAATTTTTTTATCATAATACACGCTCTCCAAATAGGGTTAATATTTGTTTGATCCTTAGTCACTAGACTGCACTGTGCAATCTGTGATCTTGAATTAGACATTCAAAGAAATGATTAAGTGTGATGATTTATAAGCTGTTGAAGTAGACATTAAAGTACATACTAGGAAAAGACGTGTTTGCCTAGATGCCCCACACTGCCACATTTCTCTCTCTCTCATTTTTTCCTCTTTAAGAATGATATGAAACAACACACACTAAAGATGTAATTTATCAGACATGAAGCCACTCCAACATTAAATTTAAGAATATAAATACTTATGAGTCCCAAATTTCAAAGTCAAGGTTCCCACAGTTACATTAACCTAGCCATTTTGCACATACACTAAGGTCATCAAATTTAACAGCATATTAAGTAATACAAAACACTATGGGAACCTTAACTTTTGAATTTCCTGACTTTTGAATTTTCAGCACTAACCACTGCATTAAGGACATTTTTGGCAAAGGGGACCTTTATATTTTAACAGGTTATTGAATGCAGGAACATGCAAACCTAGCAGTATTATTAGAAACACAAACGCATTTGAGATACGGCTATGTGAAATCAGACAAAAATTCACTTTCACTCAGTGCAAACAGCAAAGCCTCATTTCTGGGAAAGACCTTTTTTGAAGAAAAAAAAAAAATCACTGAACATTTACATTATTATCCAACTAGCATCAGGCACACTATGCCTGCCCGGTAAAAGTACTTACCAATTTTAGGGAAACTAGCTCTCCTTCAGCTCCCTTGCTCCCTACAACAGAAAAAGGGGAAAAGGGAATTAGACTACAAACACAGATGTTCGACATGTCATCAAAAGCTGAAAACTTAAATATTTCTATCTGCTTTTAAGAAGAAAAAAAAACCAAAACACACAAAAATCTCCAAAGTTTTAAACCCAAAAGAAAAAAAGGAAGAGATAGGTAGTTTTTACACAAGGAAAGAACTCAAGGGCAGTTAAGTCTCTAACTTCCAGTTTTTTCAAGCTAAGGAAAAATAAGTAGTCAATGGCTTCCCTTTCCTAAGAGACACACAGAAATGAAATGCTCCTCATCTAAATAACACACAAATACACCCTCATCCCCAACAAATGACCTTCACTGTTTGTTGCTTTATATTAACAAATGAAGCTAACATCATTGGCCCTTAGTTTGGTCTACTTAAAAGGGCTTTTTTCTATTAACCTTGAAATGGATTTATGTAAGGCTCTAAAATTCACAGCATTTTATATGTATAGTCATAATTTTAATTAAACTTTTCAATCACATTCTTAAAGTCTCAACCACCTTAGACTGTAAACCACATAACACTAAAGGGACTCTCTACACCACATATTTCATCAGTGATAGAGCCAGAAAGAAAATCAAGGTTTTGGGATCCCAATCCAATGCTCAGTGATGTTTTTATCAATTGTGTTTTTTTAAGACTAACTAAACTCCTTTAAGTTGACTTCAAGGTCAAAAAAGTCAAGTCAGGCTATCTTGTTTATTTTTAACTCTTCCCTGCCCCAAACTTCTTTTTTAGTTTTAAAAAATCCTGCAATTTACACAATGTTATAAACCAATGTGACCTCAA